GGTAGGAGAGTCAATGCACCAAATAGGTATGTGGAAGGATGAGAGTAAAAAGCTTCCAATCAGTGTTGTTGACATTTCATTGATGGAAAATAAACTGTCCTTGGCTCATAATGCACATCTGGATTATGTAATTGTAGTCAACCAATCCTCAGCACATTGGGAATCTGTAAGGAAACAAAAACATTGAGTGGCAAGAATTCTGTATGATTTCAGTTGTAAAGGGTTAGCATGTTACAACCCAAGCCCAGCTTGTAGCATCTGCCCATCAATTGTTCTAACCCAGCATTGGCCTTTCCAGCATCTAAATCAATAAATTAAACTTTTGTGCTGCAGCTCATCTATAAAATTGGCTGTTGCCCCCAAGTCCGAGAGTTGTTTTTTCCAACCTTTCTAAATACTCTTCTAAAGAAAGAGTAACAAGAATAATAAAATTTGCTTGCCTGTTGTCTGAGTTCTCTTGAATTGTCTGAGGGTCTCATGAAGAGGAAGAGAACCTGCAAAGTTTCCCAAAGCTGTGGCCTTGAGCAAGTTTGACATTTGCTTACTGTGCAGCCTGTAGATCCACATGTGCAACATTTTGTTCATTCAGAACTTTAGCTGTACAAGATCTGGCTAGATGTCTGAAAGCTCCTTGCAAAGGCATAATCTGATATTTCTTCTCTGATTCTCTCCTGGAACAAAGTTTTCTTGATTGCTCCAATTTGCTGGGACTCCAGTATTGGATTTTAAAGAGGCCCAGGCAAATGGGGGGGAGGAATTTACAGAGGAAGAGAGATTTTGTTGCTATTTCTTCTATACCTCAACTCTTACAATAACTATCTATTAACATACCAGGTTAGACCAGCTCTTCCAAATTATCTGGGGTGCCTTGTGTCGTCAGTTCATCTCTCAGCTTGTTAACAAGTCCTTGAAACTGGTCAGGATAGAATGAAATCATTCCACCCCAGATTTCTAGCAAATTATTCCAAATTTGTTATAAGCATGTGCCTTGTTTGAGCTCTATTGCTCCTTCACCCTGATGCACCTGCTGTTCTTTTAATGGTTTCTGGCTAGTTTCTTCAAGGTCATCTCCATGGCTCCCTACAGAAATAGAGAGACGTTATTCTTGTTTTCTCTGTCTTCTGATTTCAGAGCCATAATTTATCTCTACAAAGCAGTAATTTAAATAAAAAAACACAGAAAGGGATTTCTGTCTGCCAAATAAAGCAATAAAAAGTTGAGGAGATAGCCCTTTAATATGGGAGAAAACCAAGTTCATAAATTTACTTTCTTACTCTCATTTATTGGGTTATTGACTGCAATAGAGAAAAACAGTGGAGAGAAAAAATATTGCTATTGGATGCAGCACAAGAAAGCTGGAAAGAGGGAGTTTGAACTGACAGTGATTCCCCCAAATCACTGACACCCTTTAAAAGGCCATGGAACTGCCAAATTACAATTGGTGAGCTTGTGCCAACCTGGGTTGCTAAGTACCAAACCAGCTTGTGCCAACGTGTGGCAGAAGATTGCCACAGACACTTTCAGACATTGTTATTGCATTTTTAAAAACTGTCTCTCCATAAAGGGGATGGATGAGGCTCAAACTAGAGTCGAGTTCACACTGAGTTTTCTCTGCATGACTATTGGCCTACCCAAAACTGAGGAGGAATGCCAGCTGTTCTTTTGAATTGACAACCTGCATGAACTGGCCCAGGTTCTGCATATTAACAGGATCTTAGTTCTCTATTCTGATCCATAGCAGTGGGGAAGCTGTTTGGTTTGGCTTTTCAGTAAAAATGTATGAAGGATTTATGATTTCACAAAGCACATCAGCCTTGTATTAGCCAATCAGTCTGTTTGCTCTTTCCAAAGCAGTTTAATAAATAAATAAGGGCAGATTTAAACTAAACCTTGTCTGTCACATGCCCGTCTGTTAGCCAGTGATGAGACTATAGTGTGTAATTAAACAATCATTTATATTCTATGCAAGTGTGTGCCAAAACAATAAAGAGCTCTCAGGAGCCTTGTGCTGCTGAGGCATTTAATCCATGCACAGAAGGAGCTTGCTGCAAAGCTGCTTCAGCAGAATAGGGTTTCTCACAATGGAGCAGGGAGGGAGTGGGGCTGCATTCTTCAATGATTTGATAACGGAATAATTTAAGAAGCTAAAAAGGAGACAGTGTTTCATGGGTCAGATCCACTTTTTTTGTTTTGCTTGAGTGTTCCTGATATTTCTCCATGATATAAATAAAAAATGTCAGGAATTATTGAGTGTACTTGCTGGATGTATAGCCTATAAACATACACATCTCATAAGAGGTAGGTAGGAGGGTGGACTATGTCCAAATGTTTGTATGCATCATAATACTTGAATTTATTTTAAAAATATAATGTATTATCTACATTTTGTCACATGGGAACAAGATCTTTGGCTAAGTTGAATTTTAACCAAATACCATCTCAAAGATAGATAGATAGATAGATAGATAGATAGATAGATAGATAGATAGATAGATAGATAGATAGAAAGATAGAAAGATAGAAGGATCAGTGGATGGAGAGACACACAAATATGGGAACTTCAAGGCAACAAATATAAGATTTCTTCTTCCATTTCTTTTTCTATCCACAAACTCTATGAAATAGTTCGGACTGAGAGAGTAAATGATCCTAAAGTCAATCAGTGAGGTGAAGGATGACTTGAAACTCATTTTCCCCAGATCTAATTCCCTGGACATTGGGCCACATTGCTGGGGCTGACAGACAAAATAAATTTCAACAGTATCTGCAGGATTCCTAATCCATATTTAAACACTTACATTTTTATACCAAGAAAAAAAAATAGAAAAAAGATGGTAGAGGTTATGGTTATGGTTACCTTGGAAAGTGCTGAATTATCTGTACTCAAGCAACCTTACTGGCTGCAATTAAACACCAGCTTTACCTAGTTAATTGAATTATTCTTTTTGAGTTTGTATCATACCCTGAACTATAATCTAAATAAACTGGTTTGTTTTGCAGAACTCAGTAAGTCAAAAATAGGTCATTCCCCTAAAACTACTGAAGTTAATAATAACCAAGTTTAACATGTCACATTTACTTGGCCTTGTTAAATATATTGTATGAACTAAGCTTGTGTCTATTTTTAATCAAAAATCTGAAAGTCAGCAAAAATCAGCTAGGATTTGGGCTGTGATGATGACACATGGACCCCACGTGAGAAATCAAGTGAATTGCTTAGGAATATCTGGGTACAGTGAGGAGATTTCAGCCAGCTAACTGCATTGGCTTGCTGTGCTTCCCTATTTGGTTCACAGGGCATCAGTTGGGATTCTTCCCCATTTGCAATACAGTTAAGTCTGATAAATCACATTTAAGTCACATAAATTCACTAAGTTATTGAAGCACAGTTTCTGCTCTAAAGTACAATTTTAAAAGGAAAGGAATATAATCCAGCAGTATGGCAGCAGTGGTATACTGAAGACCCAGCTTCAAGCCTCGTGCCGTACCAGAAACATGGCTCTATCTCCATTGAAATGGAAAGAAAGAGCTACCGTACTCATATAGCAGACATGTCAAACTCGCGATGTCATGTGACGTCATGCAACGTATTGGGACAGTTTTGCCATTGCCAGCAATGGGGTGGGCGTGGCTTCTGCATGACACGTCCGGCCCATGGACCGGCAGTTTGAGACCCCTGTCATATAGGATCATAATCACAAACCAATCAAGTTAGAAAGTTAAGTTGATTTATCCTAAGAGAATCATCATTTAACCCTGCCAGTAGAACCTGGAACCAGAGGTTTTAATTATTAATGCAAACATATTCTTTCCTAGTGAGGTCTGAAATATGAATCACCTTTTTATTGACTCATATTTCATTTGCCATGGTGGGTCACAAGCAAAAATTAAATGAGATTCTCCTATTATTGACTGATTGTTAATTGGAATTGCATGGAAATAATAGCTGGCTATTCAGAATATCCATTAGCCCAGGGGTCCCCAACCCTTGGTCTGTGGACTGGACTGGTACTGGGCCACGGCATGCCAGTACCCAGTCCGCACAAACAAGCAAAGCCCCATCCGTGGGATGCAGGCAGCACACAAAACCACGCAGTCTCCAGTCCATCAGTTTGGCTTCTACCATGTTTTTTCCAGTTCTCATTAAGCTTCTCAGATGGATCTATAAGTATGATATAAATGATGCTCCTCAAAATTGATTGTAGCAAATATGAGTTTTGAGAAACTCAGCTGTTCACCAAAGGTACAAGAAAGTCTTGCATTCAATCCTAATTGCATTCAATCCTAATGAGCACATGAGCAATAATATGGAAGTTGTTTGCTACTGCAGCCTTCCAATATACTTTTCTGATGTTTCCAGTGTAATGTATAGTATCATGGGCTTTTGGATGGCTATCAGAGTATTTTTAGGGTGGGACAGTATTGCCTCTCATTGACAAAAAAGAGCTTTATCAGAAGGATGACATGTTCAAGATGAAAGTGCCACCGATATTATATTCCCTGAAAACCTGCAAACCTAAACGTACTCAAACTATGAAGTCCTCCAAAGGAGTATAGTTTAGATCCACTGGATTGTGAGGTTTTTTTCTTTTAAATTATGATTACTGTATTTGACTAGATGTTCTAAATTTTTGGCTGGAATAGTACATATTTTTAAACAGTAGCTGTTGTAGTGGGAATCAGTGGGAGTTTCCAATCAATCCATTGACCCATAAAATCATACCCTAAGGGCCATTATCTTGGACACTTACTGTTTTAATTATTAGTTGTATATTTTAAGTTTGGGCAATTACCTTGGAAACTGAAGATAGAATAAAAATATTTTAAATTAACTAAGTGGCATTCTAAAATTCCTGAGTCATCCATCTCTGATTTTCCTATGCTTTCTCCAACTACTTTCTTTGTAGGCAAAAAAAGAGCAAAGAGTTATTGTGATAATTCTAACTAATTCATTCTTCTTGGTTTTTTTCTCTCTTTTTTCTTTTCTTTTTCTCCTCCAGGAACCTTCTGCATAATATCACTGTGTACATGTGTAGCTGGAATCAACTTTGAGCTCTCCCGATACCCCCGGTACCTGTATGGACTCCCTGATGACATCAGTCATGGCTACGGCTGGTCCATGTTTTGTGCATGGGGAGGCCTAGGTCTTACTTTGATCTCTGGCTTCTTCTGTACCTTGGCCCCTTCTGTTCAACCTGTCCCCAGGACCAATTGCCCCAAATCGAGACCTGAGAATGGGACAGTGTGCTAAGACAAGTACAAACAAGCCTATAAATATACATATTATACATATATAAATATAAATTAATATACATAAACATATATTATATATAGATCTCAAACAGTTGCCAGTGCCATGGTAGAGTGGAGTCCAGTGGGGCCCCTACATCTTCTCTACAGCTTTGTATTGTTCTTGTTATTTTTTCCTGGAGAAAGGAATAGCTTTTCGGCAACATTGCTCTTCCATTCAGCTCCTAAAAAAAATCTTCAGCATCCCACTTCAAACATCAAATGAACTTATTGTTGCATCTGTCTACCGCCAGTTGGGTGTGATGTGATAGGAAAGGGGAAAGGGTATCTTGGTGAATCAGGTACTTTTACAAGGAGTCAAGAAAGCAAAAAAAAAAATAAAACATTGTATTGGGAAAATATAAACAATAAATAAGTGAACCTATTTAGTTACCTCTCTAAAATCTAACCTTCTCAAGGCCATCTTCAGAATCTCTCTGCTCGCACATGAATAAAAAAAACAAAAAACCTTGCCTGTCCCATCAAAGAGGAATGAAGCAGAAGATTAAGGCAGGTTTCCCTTTCTTTGCTAAACTTAAAAAAAAAAAAAGCCAAGATTCTTACAGAACAAAACTGCAAGTGAGGATCCTTGAGTGGATGTTTTAGCAATGCTGTTTCAACTTTCCTCTGCCTTACAGCCAGGCTTAATTGACAAGGCTGAACTGCTGGCAAAAATGCAAAGAGAAAGCCTCACTGAAAGGCTGTGTGGTACGTAGTGTATAACTCCCCCTCTGTCCCACCTTTTTTTTTTTTAAGTAAACCTGGTGTTTCCATGTGATCTTCTACCAAATTCTCCTCACTGTGATTGCAACAAAAGGTGTCAAGACTTATGCATGGATGAGGAAAAGCGTGTTTGGAGGCTGCACGTTTCAGTGTTTGGATTTGTTTCTGCCTCTGGTCTCCCCTTGCCTTGGAACAGCAAGAACCATCTGATGGTGAATAGAAGCAGTTGTGGGTGGTACAGGGAGGGAATGTGGTTTTTGTGGTTGTTTGATCATCATGTGGGCTGTGCAGGAAGAGCTCGGGCAGATGTTGTTGTTGTTATGCCATTGTTTTGTTAATTACAATCATTTGGGTAAAAGCCATTGCAGTGATGGGGAATTCTAAGGAATGGTAATAATAAGGATTGTAATACATGGTGCTCCTTCTTATGCCCATCTGCACCAAGATAAGATATCCGTACAATTATCATAAACTACCTGATTTTCTGAACCTTCTACTTGCCACCCAGAGTTGTTTGCTACAAGATGGGCAGTAAATAAATTCAATAAATAAATAAAAGATGAGGAAACTTGTAGAGCAGAAGGCATTGAAAGGAGAGACAGGAATTCCATTCCTCATAAAAACAAAACTTTTGATTCTGATTTGATATTTCTCTTAGAGGGGTATAGTAAGGAGTGGTTAAATAAGTCAAACTGGCAGCTGAAATGGTACGATTGAAGATTTTTCTGTTTGTATGTGTGTCACCCATTAAAAATGGATGGAATTTCCACACACCTTTGTGGCCACCACTTTGACTTCTTTGATCACCAAGTGTGCCCCTATACATACATACTTTTCATTTGTTTCTTCTCTTTTCCTTATTTCTTACTATTTCTCTACTTATTTATACCTAAGTCCTCCCATTAAATATTCAGGCTAAAGTTCTAGAGACAGTTAAGGTAATGAAAATAACAACTTATGATCCAGAAAAACCTGTGATCTGATTAATCCTTATGGAGATTGGCATAGAGAAGGAAACAAGACAATGGAATAGACACGCATACTAATTGTATATAATAATGAACTTCAGAGGGAAATGCTAGAATAACATTGGAGGATGGATTTGCCAAAACAGATGAACCACACTTCTATTTTTACTACCTTGTGATATAAAATAAAACTACCAATACAGACAAAAGACAAAAAGCAAGCACAGATAGCATATGGACAGTCTTTCCAAGTATATTCTGAAGTATTTAATCCACATAGCAACATCTTCTTGATGTCTCTTTTGATTGTAGCTACGCATGCAGATAAACCATGTGGTTACACTGTGTGGGTCCACCACTCACCCTTGGATTAACCATTAAGCAAAGGAAGAGCATGTTTTTAGGGCACCAAGGGAAGAGGGCACCTCATCATTTTTTCCTTCCAGCTATCATGCCCTTAATTCTTTCACAGTTGCCTTTGACTTTGGTTTTCAGCATTGAGCCTTAATGTTTCAGTTAAGCAGTGGAAGGGCCAAGGGCACCATAGTTGGGCTCTGCTTAGGGCTTCATTGACCTTAATCCAGTCCCGCTACCATATAAACAAATGAACTGCATAATTTCTCTCCTGCATCAAAAGCACAGTTTTGGGCTGCCTGTAAGGGCATTTCCATCAGCATCAGCTTCTACCTCTGGACCCAGACTTTCAGTCATGCCACTCCACATGTGTCTTTACAGCTCATGAATCAGAAATATCATGAAAGGCCCCTCCATATGGCTAATGGGGGAATGCAAAACTTGGTAGTCTTGTCACCAGGGCTTTTTTTCTCATAGAACGCCCAGAACGGAGTTCCGGCACCTTTTTTGGATGGAACCTTGTAGAGTAGGCAAGGAGGGTTGTATGACGTGTGTGAGTTCCAGCACCTTTTTTTTTTTTTTTTTTTTTAGAAAAAAAGCTCTGCTTGTCACCATCCTTGTTTTGCAGTAAAGGTGGGGGGGGGAACCCTATACATTGCACAAGGAAAGAACAGCAAATATGTATTGAAGAAGTTGAAGGAATGATAGCAAGGCATCACAAAATGGAGGAGTGTCCAGGGAATGCAAAAATGAGATGAGGCAAGATTTCTAATCAATGGGAAATAGGTTGCGCCTCACCTCTTCAGGAGATGTTGCAGTATTATCTTCAGCAGTGATTGACTCAGAATTAATTTGTTCAGTTGCAGAAGATCTCAATAAGACTGACAGTGTGTTACAGCCACTGTCTCTGTAATGCTAATAATAATAATGCTAATCCTGCATCAGGCCGGCTCATGTAAATAAGGTTTATTATTTAGTGGATCAAATTATTGAAACAATTGGATGAAGATGGTCTTGTATACCATGGGGTTTGCTGAAATTAAATTGGATTAATTGAGAGTCAAAGCACGCAATAGGGGAAAAAAATCCCAACAAAATTGTATCTTTTCTTTTGGCTGAAGAGAACCCTCAATGCAGATTTAAATCATGCAATATAAAATGAACAAAAATGTGCAGAATATTATAATTGCTCCAAAGCACAGCAATAGGATTCATTAACGGCACAGAATATTTCTGATGTGGAAGCAATTCTTCTATCCATTCTGTAAAGCTACAGGCCATCTATAGATTCAGGGAAATTAGAATCTGAGTAACAAGGTCATTCAAGTCTCCTGCAATTCAAGCTCAGTCCTGGTGACTTACTCCAGTTTCCTTGATTTTAACTGCAGGAGGTAAAAAATGTAATTGGTGCTGCAGACAGTTCCAGAAGCAAAGTAGAATAAAGGAATTCTCAGGAACTACTTTAATGTTGAAAATCTCAGTGATGAGATAAGATATCAATAGAGAATATTGGTCCACCATCTTCTTTTTAACATTGGCAGAAAACTGGAATATGAAAACTGGAATGCAGTTTTAACGCAGTTTTATGTGCCTACAATTGATGCCAGTTTTCTCCAACCTATTACCATCCACCTATTTTAAGAGTTGGCTTCCTTAAGAAGCATTACCTATGTATAACACAAAGACTTTCTGTCTATGGGGTTAGGATGTTTTTGGCTGAATTTCATAGGATGTTCAATCACCAAGGTTGAAATAAGGGTCAAATGGTCTGAAAAAACTGTTAATTCTGCAACCAGACTGAATGAGCTGAATTATTTGTGGCTCTTAGGAGATAGCAGGAAACTCAGATTCCTCATGTGAGCCACTTTTTTTTACATAAAATGTCCATCAGTTGAGTGCCTTTTTTCATATATTTGGCCTTTATTCATAAATTTACTACTTTTTAAAAAAATGCAAAATATTAAAATGAAAGGATTTTTAGGTTTTCTCCTTCAAATAGTCTATTGTAAGATCTTAATGTGGCAACTACAACTACAATATGAATCTTGTGGCACTTTAAAGACTAAACCTATCAAGACATAAGGAATAATGATTCCTCAGAATGTCAGCCATTGATGTGCAGTAGAGCAGATGGCAATGTCTTGCAGGTCATCAGAGCAAAACATCAGGACACCCACCAGGCCCAAATAAATTATTGGGACAGAACACTCCTCAATACAGGGCGCTGTAGGTAAAGTGGTCTTGCTGTCTTTGGCACAGCAGCACAGGAAGTGTGTCCTTGTATAAAATTTCTTTCTGAGAAAAAGAATTTTCATGAAGAATTCAGAGGAAAGGTGACAAAAGTCCTTTTGGTTCAACTGATGGGGCATAATGCACCACCGGTATTTTTTAAAATAATTTTATTAACAAACTAAAAAAAAGAATAAAAATCAAAAATAGTGGAAAAAGGAAAAAAATGAAAAGACAAATAAGAAAGAAAAATAAGAATATAGTAAAGAAAAAGAGAAATATATAATGAAATGATTTTCCCTTCATTACAGCAAGTATAAACAATTTTAATAATTTCTCACTTTCTCTTAAAATACAGTAAATTATCCCTTCTTTCCAAATCTCATCTCCTATGTTTAAAAAAATCCTTAAAAATTCATTGTTTCAGTCCTTATCAACAAAACCCATTAAGAGTTAGCAGAGATAAGAACAGATCTATTGTAACCTTGATCAAAAAACCAACTTTGTATTTCTTCTTTTTATTTTAAAAATCTTGTTCTTTAGTCACTTCAAATAATGTCCTAAAACTCTTCCATGATATATTTAAACACAGTCTGTCTATAGAAGCAGACACTCTTAAAATTAAATTCTGGGTTGATTGTTCAAAACTATCCTTCAACATATTCAATGTTAAAATATTTTGCTTCATTCTGTTTTAGTCAAATTTAAGTATTCTTCTCCTTTAATTGTAATCTTAAATTCCTTCTGGTTCCCTCTAGTGTCCAGCCTTCAAAACCTCATCTTTTGTGTGTGTGTGTGTGTGTGTGTGTGTGTGGTTATTCGGGTTTTCTCTCACGTAAAATTGGAAGTGTCTTGGCGACGTTTCGATGAAGTCTCATTCGTCATCTTCAGGCTGGTGCTTTCGGCTTCGTGCTTCTAAGAGCACGAAGCCGAAAGTACCAGCCTGAAGACGAATGAGACTTCGTCGAAACGTCGCCAAGACACTTCCAATTTTACATGGGAGAAAACCCGAATAACCAAAGACCTACATACAAACACCCGCGAAAAC